AAAGCCTTGAAACCTTAAGCCCTAAGCCCTAAACCCTGAAGCCATATAGACCCTAAGACCTTCTCCCGCAGATGCTGGGCCAAGCCTTGAACTGCCAGAGTTTTGGATCCGGCGTCGGTGTTGCCAGGAAGCTGCAGATTTGGCTGTCCCTAGGGCTCTAAGGACTCATATACATACATACATACATATATACATGCATGGCTTTGGGCCCAAAGACCATTCTATGATATGAGGCTTTCGGGCTATGTTGATCCCCAGGCTCTTGTACAAGCAGGAATTCTTCGCTTGTTCGGTCGATGCGTGGTTTAGGGTTATGAGTACATGGGTGGTTGTCAATATTATGGTCCCTGTTGGGTATCCTAAATCATAGGTGCCGTATTCTAATATAGGGACCCAAAAAGGGACCATAATTTTAACAACCACCCATATACAAGCTGAACACGGACGATCCAGAAGCATTCAGGGTTTAGGTTTAGGGTTTACTGTTCAGGCTTACGCTTGAGGGTTTTAAGGTTAGGGTTCCTGAAACATCACTCAACCCTAAACCCTAAACCCTACACCCTCACCGGGCGTGCGGTGTGCTTCAGGCCTGGCTCGGCTGCAAGAAGCACTACATCGTGTCGAAGCTTGGCTTAGTGGGCTTTGGAGTACCATACTTTAGTACTTTTTTCTTAAAGGAACCATTATGAAAAAAACTTTATACCTTCTTGTCCCTGGTTACTTAAATGCCCAGCTAAGAGAGAAGATGCTTCGAGCCTTTCTCCGGTCAATGGCCACGCCGTCTTTGCTTCTACCTAGAGGCTCCACAGTAGTTCCTGTTTGGGGTTCATATTTAGAATCCTACAGGGTAATCCCCAAAAGGAGCTACTATGGAGCCTATGGGTAGTATCCATTGATGTTCCTTGCCTTGGTTTTCCAGATTTATGGTGAGGGTCATAAAATTTGAAACAGGTTGGCAAAAGGCAACAACGATGGAAATCATAGGCAGATATATGGCTGCAGCGCGGGAGGAAAACATGACGTATAGTGCTTTGGAAAACCTGTAGAGTGGCAGAATTCGGATCTGAGTGCGGCAAACGAACTGCACCTGTATTGCCAGTCTTTTCAGCAGCCATGGTGTAGCAATATCAGTAGTAGTAATAGTAATAGTAGTAGTAGTAGTAGTAGTAGTAGTAGTAGTAGTAGTAGTAGTAGTAGTAGCAGCCGTAGTAGTGGTAGTAGTAGTAGTAGTAGTGGGGGTAGGAGTAGGAGTAGCAGTAGCAAGAGCAGGAACAGGAGCAGAAGCAGTAGCAGTAACAGCAGCAGCAGTAGCAGCATCAGTGACCAATAACACACACACACAAGAGTTTTGTAGTTGATGTACGCACATATGTGTGCATCCAACAGTTCGCTTTGATCGCAGCTGCTAGACGTGGCTCCAAACATCTTTTATAGAAGCACCGAAAGAACAAAGCAAAGGTGCCAAGATGCAAAAATATGGTTTCGGGAGCCAAGAATGCACATGTTTGAACCGTATCAGACATATCACACATCCTGCGACGCACCATGACGATCCGAATCGCCGTCGTCCTCATGAGTGGGCGGAAAGCAGACTTGGATGTGGCACCAGGCTGCTCCTTGGAAGAGATCAGGACACGAGCGCAGCAGATGCTCGGGATCCGTGGGAGGCTGCTCAGTGCATCTGGCGCTTCCCTGCATGGAGACTGGGCTCTTGTTAAGGGTCTTACCTAAGTTACCACAACAAGAAATCCGTATCATTTACTTCAGATCCCTAACATGGTAACTTAAACTAAATTCCTGAACAAGAACCAAGGAGACTTGACCGTTCAGCAGGCGGGGTTGCGCAGCGGCGATTGGCTGACCCTGCACACGCGGCCCTTACTCTTGTCGGCCACCTCTGCAGCCGTGGCAGCTGTCCTTAGTGATGGCTCAGTCGTGACATGGGGTGAGTCGGACATGGGGGGCGACAGCGGTGCAGTGCAACTCGATGACGTGCGGCACATCGAGGCCACACAGTCTGCCTTCGCTGTCATCCGGGATGACGGCTCTGTCGTGACCTGGGGACGTCCGCGCTGGGGTGGGGACAGCAGCGCAGTGGTCGAGCAACTGAAGCTGGGTTCTTGTTGAGGATTTTGGTTGAAGTTATCACAATAAGGATCTATAGTAAATAATATATTTATCGCACTTAAAGTTAAATCTCTTAACCCCTCAACCCTTGTAGAACTGTTCAAGGAACCCGTATAGATCCCTTAAGGGTTTATGGCAACTCAAGATAGAGCCCTCAACTAAACCTTAAACCCTAAACCGTATTAACGAGAACCCAGAGACTCCAATATCCCTTAATTGAGGAATATTCCTTAAATAATAGTACCCTAATATGATTTTAAGGGAATATTCTTTAATTAAGGGATACCGGAGTCCCTTAAACCCTATACATCCCTTGTAGGAGCCCTTAAAGGAACCCCTATAGATCCCTTTAAGGAACCCTTTTCGGTAATATTCCTTAAATTATAGTAGGAACCCTAATATGATCTAACGAAAAATCCTCAATCCCGTTATAGAACCCTTTATAAATCTCTTTAAGGAACCCTAAGGAATATTCCTTAATGAAGGGATCTTGGAGTCTCGGGGAACCCAGGAAGGATGTGCAGCAGCTTCGCTCCACGGCTGGCGCATTTGCGGCGCTGCTGGGAAACTTAGGGGTACTTAGAAATGACTTTTAATGTTTTGTTATTTTTACTTTTTTGTTATGTTTAATTTTAGGCTATCTGTGTTTTGTTATTTTTAGTTTTTGGTGATTATAATCCCTAAGAAAAAGCTAATTCTAATTTTTGCTAGGGTTCTAAGTTCAGTATAGGAAACGGAGATGTCGTCACCTGGGGACATCCCGCACTAGGAGGTGGGCGGCTGTCAAAATTAAGTTCCCTTTTTTGGGTCCTTGTTAATTATAATACGGCACTTAATATTTGGGGTACCCAAAACGGGGCCATAATTTTGACAACTACCCAGGTGATAGCAGTGAGGTCCAGGAGCAACTGCAGAATCTAGGTGACGCTTTGGCAAGCTTTGAGTTTCCCCCTATGATCCAAAACCTAGTAGTCGAGTAGGTAACCTTTAACTTTTTTTTGGGTAGTATAGTCCCTATATAATCCCTATATAACCAAAAAGGTTAACCTTTAGTTCCCCATGATACCCGACAAGTAGGAAAACAGGTACCCATTCCCGAGACGACTGGCGAAACCCAGAGCTCCGAACGAGAAATTCAAGTACCCGAAACCCCAAAACAGGAGCTCCAAATTCTTAAGCTATAGCGTTATTGATGGCAATACGCTGTCTTGGGGCATATTATATAGTAAAAGTTATAAGATAATATTATGCGTTACAAAAAGGCACTGTATTCGACAGGATTCTATAACACTACCCAGGAATGTTCAGCAGTTGCATGCCACTGGCGAAGCCTTTGCAGCCGTCCTGGAGGATGGCTCTGTGGTGACTCTGGGTTCTTGTTAAGGAACTTTGTTGTTGGCGTCCTTTTTTCCCCAGACCCTGTAAAGTTCTATGAAACCTAAATACTAGAGTTAAGTTCCTGAACAAGAAACCAGGACTTGGGGCAATCCCGATACAGGTGGGCATTGGTTTGGCTGTGGGTCGAGAAGCTTGGAGTGTGGGTTTAGGGCGTTTAGGGTTTGAGGGTTCTTCGGGTTTGGGTGGGGTTTTGGGTTTAGGGCTTTCAGGGTTTCGGTCAGAGTTTAGGGGTTAGGGTTTTGGGCTTCAGGGCTTTGGGCCTTTAGGGTTTGGGATTTCGGAGGAGGGGGGGGGGGGGCTTTGTTAGTTGTTGCAGTGACGGCTGCAGGGTTAGGGGCTTCTGATCTTTTATGGATGATGATTGCTACGATGATTACGATAATAGCTCATGTTGTTTGCTATTTTGTTTGTCATGTGATTACGTTCATCCTTGCTCTTTTCCAATTCTCTGTCACTCTTGCTTGACATGAGATGTGCTTCGGGATCATTTTTAATTTCCCTTATTTCCTTATAAATCACTCTTGCTTGACATGAGATGTGCTTCGGGATCATTTTTAATTTCCCTTATTTCCTTATAAAGGGAACCTATTCGTAAATAATTGTCAAGGGTTTAAAGCACAACCCTAAACCCTAAGCCCTAAACCCTAAACCCTAAAACCAGAAAAAAATGCGGCCTGCTCCAGGAGGCGACAGCAGCTCAGTCCAGCACTCGCTGAAGAAGGTTCGCCATCTCCATGCCTCCGAGTTGCCGGGCTCTTATTCAAGAAATATTATTATTATTATTACTACTATTATTATTCTTATTTATTATTTATTATTTATGATTTATTGTTCAAGCTACCTATGGTATAGTTGGGACTTTTGGTGATTTATTCAAGAAACATCCAGTTTAAGCTAACTACTAGGGGTCTATAGTAAATAAGATTTGTTTCCTTACTATGACCGTATCTTACAAGCTACCTGATTGGGATCTATAGTAGACAAGATCGTTTCCTTATTATGACCGTAACCTACCAGCTACGTGGTAGGGATCTATAGTAAATCATATATGTTTCCGTACTACGATCGTAACTTAACTCAAGCTTCCCTAGTAGTAGAATAGGTAACCTTTAACCTTTCAGTATAGTCCCTATAAAATCCCCACATAACTAACCTTCAGTTCCCCAGGATACCCGACAAGTACCTGGACCCCAAAAGTATGTAGAATAATAGTCTTTTAAAGGTTTGGGGCCATTATTTTACCTACTTTTGGGGGTCTAGGTAGGCTTCTTAACAAAGAGCAAAGGTTGGCTTTCGCAGCCGAGTTGGCCGATGGGCGTGTTGTCACCTGGGACGGCTCTTGCGATGGGGAGCTGCAGAATCTAGGATACCCAGTAGTACCCTTATTCCTTTTTTGTAGTCCTAGGTTCCGTATTAAGTTGCCCAATACCAGAAAGGGAGCCCTTTTTATTCCCAGGCTGCTGAGCATCCTAGGAATGTGCGGACATTGCAGGCATCGGGTGGAGCCTTCGCTGATTGAGTAGCAGCGGAAGATCTTGTGAGGAGGAAGGTGCAGCTTATGCCTCCTACAGTTATGGTTAGTGTTATTGTCGCTATTACTATCAACATTATTCGGATCTACTATGTTTGTCAGAAGTATCGTTACTATTAGTGCAACCATACTCCATATCTACAAGGTCAGGAACCATACATACATACATACATACAGGCAGACAGGCAGACAGACAGACAGACAGACAGACACATATACATTGTACATATATATATATACATATAGATACACACACATACAACAACCTTTGTACATATGTTCGCATGCTCTTGGTACTGCACAGGTTCTCCCTATGGTTGCTTCATCTCTGGGGCCTGATTGCAGCCTAGGAGCATTTGCTGCAGTGCTTGCTACCGGATTTGTCGTCGCCTGGGGGCGCCTCGATTGCGGTGCGGACATCAAAGCCGTGCAGGAGCGTTTTGAGGTTTAGGGTGTTCGGGCCTTCGCATTTATGAGACGCCATCTCCCTCAGTCATGCTTTTTGTAAGTCTGATCCCAAACATCCACGCCGAAACCTGGGATGAATAAAGTATCCCAGTTACTGCAGCACGTGGAAATCTCCCTATAAGACAGAAACCCTGTGAGAATAATATGTGAGGATGACCTTCAGGATTTATGTGGGCTTGTGTGGGACTGGCTTGTCGTATCCTTAAACCCTCAACCCTAAACCATTAGTCGAAGGGAGACCCCACCGTAAATCCTAAACCCTGGCGTTAGTCAAAAGAAAATCCCAAGCCCTACATCCCGAACCCTCTAGGCCCTCGGTCGTTACCCAAAGCTCACATGGCGAAAGCTCTGTTTGGGAGGGGGAGGGAGGTCCTGTCTGGGTTCTTGTTCAGGAATGTATTTCAAGCTACAGAACAGGGATCTATACTGAATGAGTATTTTTTCGTATTACTATTACTATTGCCAGTAGTACTGTTATTTTTATTGTTGCTGTTAGTATTCGAATACTCAGAGAGAGAGAGAGAGAGAGAGAGAGAGAGAGAGAGACAGACAGACAGACAGACAGACAGACAGACAGACAGACAGACAGACAGACAGACAGACAGACAGACAGACAGACAGACAGAGAGAGACAGACAGAGAGAGATAGACAAGAGACAAGTGCCGAACTGCAGAGCCTCAGCTTCACAGGAGAAGCTCAAGACTGCCCAACAGCTGCAAGCGACATACTCTGCCTTCGCCGCCATTCTCCGGGACGGCTCCGTGGTGGCTCCGACGCGCCAGAGAGCCCTAACCTAACACCCTCGACAAGGAGGAAGGTTCAGGGTTAAGTGTCAGTGTCATGACATGACTCTATTCCGGAGGACACAAGCCCTAAGCCTCAAAATTAGAGTCTATTTCCGAAAATCCGAACCGTCATGCTAAGGCTCAAATTATAAACCCCTATGCCTATGCCCACTCTATACCCTAGAAACTGGGTGCTTCTAGACTAGACTCTAGACGCTCAATCCTCAGCCTCCTCGGTTAGATGTCGGCATGCAGGGGAGGGCGATGCAAAGCTCTCACAAAGATTTTTCAAGCTCATAGACTAACTCTTTGAACCAAAGAAGGTTGCTTGTAGGATTTATAAGGACGTTGTAGGACGTTATGTTGAAAAACCAAAAAGTTTTTCGGGCACTTATTGAAAAGTGTCAGCTACGCCTCACTGCCTTCCCAGACTACTACTGTAGGGGCCTTAGTAATTACCAATACTGTTTTGGGGGGTTCCTTATTACAATAAAAGTATAGTGGGCCTCACAACCCATTAGCAAGTCCCCTATATTATTGTACCCTTGTAGATCCCGATTGACCCCTTTAAAGGAACCTTTTGAAGGGAACCCTATTCTAATTCTCAAGGCCCTTATACTACGGCAAGAGGTGACTTGGGGACACCCGGCGAACGGCGGTGACAGCAGCAGCGTCCAAAGTCAGCTCAAGAAGGTGGCTGCTTGCGTTCTGGTAAGGATTCCTTTAAGTAAGCATTCCTTTATGGGTTTTTCATGGGGTTCCTTTATGGGTTCCTGTGTGAGGTTCCTTACGCGGTCCTCGAAGGATTACTTTGCGGTATGCTTTTACGCTTTCCTTGAAACGGGTGCAGAATTTCGGGATGGGCTCTGTGGGGCTTAGCTTTAGCCTTCAGCCGGAGCCCTCAAATGCAACACTGCAACACCAACACCGTGAAGCTCAGAAACTGCACACCCTACACTACTATTTGCTTAAGAAGCCCCCAAAAAATAAAAATAATAATCCCTATAATACCCCCATAAGGAATATTTTTTTTATTTTTTGGGGGTTCTTAAGCAAATAGTAGTACACTCTGAAGCCCGAAACCCAACGGAGCCGTTGCAAGCTCCAGAGCCTGATCCCCAGTCCTGATAACATCGGAGGATTCAGCAAAAACGGTTACATGTGAGTAAGGTAGTCTTTGGACTTATGTATACTTTCCAGCCTAGTTAAGGTACCTTAAACTGCACATACCACTGTCCGAGCATCTCCGTTTGGAAGCCTGGAAAGGTGAAGCAGATCTACTCGAACTGGTATGCTTTCGCTGCTGTCCTGGATGCCCTACTGAATTGGAACCCTAAGCCCTGAACCCTGAGCTCTAAACCCTGAACCTTGAACCCACACTATTTAGGGCCTCGGTTTAGGGACATTCGTGGCCAGACCTGAGCCCAGTAGTCAAAAGGGACTATTCGCTTTGATTCGCATTTGGCCGAGCCCTGACATAGCTATGGGTCCCACAAGCCGATCCCCAAGAGTCCCAAGTACCCAGTGGACCCAATACTCCCCAAAATCCGAACCTACATAACTACTATCCTAAAAACCGGTGAACCCTAAACCCTAAACCCTACCTGATTGTTGGGTCCTTTGGACCCTTGGACCGTTGCAATAATGGTAAAAGCCTAAGCCCGAGATCGGATAGGCCTAAAGGCCAAGCCGGAACGTCCAGGCAAGCAGCCCAGCAAAAGTCACAAGATTGTAAATATTGGTATTGAATATGGTTTCTTACTTTATGATTCTCATGTTATTTGTTGTTGTTAATATCAAACCCTAAACCCAAAACCGTTCAAAAAAACGTATACGAAGCCCCGCCGGCCACTGCTCCGCCCTGCGCCCTCTGTCCCCGGGTCCTCGACGCTCTACCCGGTTGCCATGCTTGGAGGGGCAGGGGACTTAGTAAGTAGCTCATAAGTAGAGTTATAAGTACCCTAAATGGAGATACCCCAACTATAACCCTACTTACTAAGTCCCCTGCCCCTCCAAGAGCCCTTTGCCCAGTCGCCTTTCTGGCAGAAGAAAGCTTAAACAGCCGAAAGCCTAGACCCTAAAACCGAGACCTTAAACAACATCCTAAACCCTAAACCCCTAAACCCCAAACCCCAAACCCTAAACCCTAAACCCTAAACCCTCAACCCTAAACCCTAAACCCTAACCCCTAAATCCCTAAACCCCAAACAGCAAGTATCGACTGCGGCTCTCTGCGCCCCCTTTTGGCCCTAGCTTTGAGGAAAGCGGGGCCGTGGTGACCTGGGGGGATCCAGCGCTGGGCGGTGACAGCCGGGCTGTGCAAGAGCAGTTGAAGGATGGGAAGGGCTGTTTAGGGGTTTAGGCATTTAGGGTTTAGCGGTTTGGGGTTTAGGGTTTACCATGCCTGGGTTTATAATTAGTTTACGTTGGGCGTCTCTGCAGTATGGAGTTTGGGATGAGTGGGTAGGGTTTACAGTTTGGGATTGGGGGTCGCTGGAATTGGAGAGTTTTGGGTTTGGAGTTTGGGACTGAGGGCTCTACGGGCAGATTTTAGTCTTGGGTTTCGCGTCTTTGGGGGTTTAGGGACCAGGGCTTCATGGGTGGAAGCGTGAGAAGGGAAGAGGCTTATTGGGGTGATGACTACGGTGTGATTTTTGGTGACCATAGTGCTAATGTACATGCAAGAGGTGGTGATGTTGCGGATGGTGATGACGATGGCTATAACGGCGATGGGGACGATGAAGAATAGTCATGTTATGCTGGGTCTCGTAGTGGGTCTTTTTCCCTGCTCACCTTAAGGTTCAGATATGGTGAGGAGCCTCAACTGCACAGTCTACCTCCTCCAGTGCGCAGTCTCTCTGCTTTCACCCGTGTGTGTGAAGTGCATTCAACAGCTCAGCGCGCATTCTAACATCGGGGCCTAAATAATCACCAATACGGCTGATGATGCAAATCCTGCATTACCCATTATAAGGAACATCCCATAATTCCCACAGTTTCGGGTCTTTAAGGTAATGCAGGAGTCAACAGTAGTACTCCTTGAGGTTCCTTGTTATAATTATTCTATAAAGGGGGCCCAAACCCTATTCTAAGCATTAAGGCCTCTACATTTGATGCAGGCTAGGGCACCTGTGATTGAGGCTTCAGTTACCAAGATTCTTCCAGATCTGCATCTCGGGCTGACTAGGGTTTGAAAACGACTATAGGGGCCTGCACAATTACCTACACTATTTTGGGGGCTCCTTATTTAAATTTAATTTATGTATGATGGGTTCTAATTACTAAGGCCCTCCTACTAGACCCGGGCTGTGGTTTGTAGATCTTGCGACTAGACTCGCTGATATGCAGGACGTGCAACATATTGACTCGACGCAGTTCGCTTTTGCTGCCACGCTGGGCGATGGCATCTTGTCTCCTTCTGCACAACATGGGCTAGTGCGTCAAGATAGGTATTTTCTGTAGTTTAAGGCTTGCGGAGTCTGCGAACTATCAAGCCCCACGCAAACTTGGGGGGCGGTATTACCAGCACCAAGAACCTGGACGTCTACGGATCAAGCTGGCATACCCCGAACCCCAAACTCGGAACAAAAGGCCCGAAACCTTAAATCCCACGCCCTCTTTAAGCTCTAAACCCCCGATGGCGCAAGTCTCCTACACGTGACAGAAGGATCGGTGGTCACCTGGGGCGATTGCTACCATGAAGCCCACTGCAATGAGGTCCGCTCCTTCCGCCCTTCTTAGCTTTGGCGTTTCTGCAGCCTGTGGTGTTTTGATGTTTTTGCGTCTGGTGTCCGCGCTCGTTAAACAGTTAGCCCCAGGCCCTAAACCTGTTAGCCCCGGGCCTTAAACCTGTTAGCCCCGGGCCCTATAAACCCTAAACCTTGAAAGCGCCAAACTTAAACCCCAAAACACCTAGACCGCAATCCCCAAACCCAAAACCCTTGAACATTCCCAGACCCTGAACCCTCTTGGCCCTGAATAACCGCCGACCCTAAACCCGCTAAACATCCTTGAACCCTATAGACTCCACACACTCAGCTCCTACAACACCCTATAACCCAAAAACCCTAAACCCGAAGACCCATAAACCCTATAGGCCCTTAAAAGTGCCTTACCAGACTCCTATAAACTATAGATCCGTTACGGGACCCCTAAAGCCTATAGACCCTTCCACCCACAAACTCCAATATCCCTTAATTAAGGGATATTCTTTAAATCATACTAGGGATCCTGTTATGATTTAAGGTATATTCCTTAATTCAGGGGTTTTGGAGTCTCTGGGCAGGTGCAGGAGCAACTCCGAAGTGTACGACAGCTCTCTACCTGCGGCCGGGCTTTTGCGGCGATTCGGGAGGCAGGGCTTTGAAAGGGCTTGTGGGGTTTAGGGTTTCTTTATTTGGAGTTCCGTTTCGGGTTCCAGAGGGGTTTGGGTTTGGGGTTTCGGGAGTTGGAGTTTAGAGTTGAGGGTTTGAACGATTTCGGTGTGTTGGCTTTACAGAGTTCTATTAGGGTTTGGGGTTTATGGTTTGTGGGTTTTGTGGGTTCTGGGCTAGGCTTTAGGATTCGGGGTCTGGGGGTTGTTTAAACACCGTTAGTTTAAGGGCTTGCGGCTGTACTTGGAGCTTCATGGGTAGTTAAAAGTGGTCTGAAAAGAAGGGTAACTATAGTTATAACCCATATTCAGGGACTTATAACTCCACTTATAACTACCCGTGAACCTCCAAGTAGGTGTTATTCTGCTTAAAGGGTTCATGGGACTTCGTAATTCGGGTTATAAGTAAGGTAACTACAGCTACAATGACTTATAACCCCAACTAAGGTACTTATAACCCTACTTACTAAGTCCCATGATCCTTAAACCCTAAACCCTTATGGTACCCCTTATAGATCCCTTTTAAGAAACCCTTTAAGGAACCCTACTTACTAAGTCCCATGATCCTCCAAGTAGGCTGCATTTAGGGGGTTTCGAGTTCGCTTCAGGGCTCTAGGGGGGCGGGATCTTCCTGGGCCTCAGACTCAGGCTTGGTATGTACTTAGTAGTTGTGTTGTAGGGTGTGGGGGGTTTAGGTGTTTAAGGCTTAGGGTTTAGGGCTTGGGGTTTAGGGGTTTAGGGTTTGATTGGGGGTTTAGGGTTTAGTGGTTTAGGGGTTTAGGGGTTAAGGGTTTTGTTTCGCTGGTCTGGAGGTTTCGAGTAGTTCTTTAGGCCTCGGCCCGGGGATGGTTTCGGATTTAGGGGGCGGACAGTTTAGGGAGTGTTCACGCTATGCTTCTAGGCTTTTGGGGGGTTTGTGGATTCGGAGACACGGCGTAGGTTGGTTGGTTCAGGCTTTTGGGTGGGGTATAGCTGTGAAAAGCCAGGTGTTAGGCGTTCGGCTTTTGTTTAAGTCAGTCGACTAGCGAGTAAAATGGCCTAAACAATCCCCATGGCCTCAAACCGTGACCTTAAAACCTGAACCAAAACTCTCTGACCCCCCTAGCCCCCAAAATCTTACATCCTGAACCCAAATACTTTCATCTTTCCCCCCGAACCCGTCACCAGCTTACCTCCCCAACAGCACCATCAAGGACGGCTCAGTCGTGTCCTGGCGTGGCAACGGCTCTCCGGCCACAGTGGTTGCAGCCGCGTTAACGAGG